GAACATGAAGAAGAACGTATAGACGAAGAAGAATACTGAAAATATCTAGGTGAGCCAAAAAGATGAGAACAATGAAAAGAAGAAGGAGAAGAAGAAAGAAACCACCATAAAAAATAAAAATAAAAAATATCCAGAAAAAGAAGAAGAAACGGAAAAGACTTCTGAGAAGAAAAAATCATAAACTATATAATTACTACAATAAATAGATGTCAAAACAAAAATTAACGAAGTTTACAAATTATTTATGCTAATCCATCTATTTTTTTCAACATTTTAAATTTTGTTATCACTTACTAAATTTTTATATTTTATTGTTATTCATTGTTTAGAGTTTATTTTAACACAAACACAAAAGTTACAAAAGAGAAAAGTCCATAATTTTCACTACTCGTAGTATCTTCCATCAGCTTCAACACTTGGAGTTTTGCACATCTGAAACAAAGTGGGATCTACTTATATCTATGCTCCAACATTCACCGGAACTACCATCACTTTGCTCCAACATTCACCGGATCTACTTATGGGTTTTGCTTGCTTGGATTCGGTAGCAAAACCCAAACCTAATCCAAATCTATTATAACTTTGTTTTTACTTTTTTTTTGCCAAGGTTATTCTATTTTAGGTAAAGCTCTTGTAAGACCTACAAATTTGGGTTATAATATTACTTGATTTGATTGCCTCTGGAAAAGGAGAACCAATGTTGTCTAGTAAACCTTGGCTTGACCCTACACTAATGGGAGAAGCTAAAATTCTGGTTGAGGTTAAATTAGATAAGTCTTTTTCCCAAAGAGTAGCTCTGAAGGATATGAGTGACTCCATCACAATGGTTGATGTAGTGTACGCCTGGTTGCCTCCAAAGTGTGAGAGATGTGGCCATCTAGGCCATAAAGCGACTCGATGTCTAGGTCTGCCTTGAGCTACGAATGTTAAAGACATTGCAACTAGCTCTGTCTCTGTCCCAGCTACTGCTAAATGTGCTGCAACAAGCTCCTTCTCTACCCCCAACAACTGTTACGTCTGATGTAACAAACTCCTTTTCTGCCCCAGCAACCGCTGTCCAGAAATCAAAACCGATTAATCTACCCTCTGGCCTTGAGATGGCTCCTATTATTGCAAAGGTTGCAGCCACAGAAGCTCCTAATATTACTACACTTGAACAACCCACTTCAATGGTTGTCCCGATCACAATAGATACTACCAATTCTGAGGCTATTCCAGTTGCAATGGCTTCCCCAACCAAGATCACTACGATCAACTATGAGGTTGTCCCAGTCCTCGCAGAATCTTCAGTTACAAATGCTACACCATATGGTCTTGTTGTCCGGAGATTGCAGTTTAAGTCTCAATATCATATGACATAGATGAGCCTTCTAATGTTCCCACTGTCCATAACCAAGAAACATTGCCTTCACCGGACTTTAACACTACTTTGAATGAGGAGGAATCAAATTTGGAACCTATGGAAAATAATAGGTTTGCTTTAATGGAATTATGTGATACTCCCAAAAGAGATTTGGTTCAAGATGTGGAGAGATCCCGTGGTGGAAGACCACTCAAACCAATACAAAAATTCCAAGATATGCAATGGACAATAGTTGGTGGTCGCAGTAACCGTGGCCGTGGAGGTCGAGGACTTACCAACTAGTGGCGTCTTGAGATAGTTTTCTCAATCTACTCTAGCTCTTTCTTTAACTTTACTTTAAGTCTTGCTCACATGCTTGATTATTCCTCATGATTTTTCAAACTTTTTCTTAAAAACTATGTGATCCAAAAGATCATATCCTTGAAATATTTGTTTCACATTTGAATTGAAAATCATTTAGCAAATAAAAAAACATGTATTTATTCCGAATTATATATGGACGAAAAAGAAAAGAAAAAAACCATTTATGATGCACTGAAACGATGTCGCTTGGCTAGCGTTTGGACCTGGGAGCAAACGAAATTTGACCTTTTGAATTACCAAAGTGAACTTCCTCCTTCACCAACGCCACTCTTCCTTGTCGAGAGTGACTAAACCTCCCCGTTAATGGCGTTAATCCGATCAAAACTCCGTCTTTCTCAAACCCTTTCCTTCATCTCTCCTCGTTTACCCAAACCCTTCACCACCTCCGCAACTTCTCTAAACCACGACCATGAAAACGACGAATCCGCCGCCTCCGTCGCCGTCGAATCTACCCCTGCCTCTCCTGTGCTAACTCCGGAAGATACAAAAACTGTAGAAAAATTCCATTCCATCATCAAAGATCACTACCGCAAAAACCCTACTAACCCCATCGACGTCGTCTTAAACCCTAGCTTCACCCTCCCTTCTCTCTCCCTCCGTCGTGCGATGCGTGATAGAGAAGTGCGGCGGTGTCCGCCATGGAATCCCTCTCCTCCAATCTCTAGCTTTCTTCAATTGGGCCACTTCACGAGACGGATACGACCACAAATCGCCTCATCCTTACAACGAAATGATCGATCTTGCCGGTAAGGTAAGACAATTCGACTTAGCCTGGCACTTGATTGATTTCATGAAATCGAGAAACGTCGAGATTTCGAATCGAAACCTTCACGATTCTGATTAGGCGTTACGTTAGAGCTGGATTAGCTTCAGAGGCTGTACATTGCTTTAATCGTATGGAAGATTACGGATGCGTTCCGGATAAAATCGCTTTCTCTGTAGTCATTAGTATCTTATCTAGAAAGAGAAGAGCTAATGAAGCTCAGTCATTTTTCGATAGCTTGAAGGATAGGTTCGAGCCAGATGTTATAGTTTACACTAATTTGGTTCGTGGTTGGTGCCGAGCTGGTGAAATCGCGGAGGCAGAGAGAGTGTTCAAGGAGATGAAACTGGCAGGGATTGAATCAAATGTGTATACTTTTAGTATTGTGATCGATGCGTTGTGTAGATGCGGGCAAATCAGCCGTGCGCATGATGTTTTTGCGGATATGATTGATTCGCGTTGTGCTCCAAACGCCATTACTTTCAACAACTTGATGAGGGTTCATGTGAAAGCAGGAAGAACGGAGAAGGTTTTGCAGGTTTATAACCANATGAAGAAGCTAGGTTGCGAGCCCGATACTNTAACTTATAACTTCCTCATCGAGACTCATTGCAGAGACGAGAATCTTGAAAACGCGGTCAAGGTTTTGAACACGATGATNAAGAAAAAATGNGATGTGAATGCTTCTACTTTCAATATGATATTTAGGTACATCGAGAAGAAGAGAGACGTGAATGGTGCGCATAGGATGTATTCGAAGATGATGGAAGCAAAGTGTGAGGCGAATACGGTGACTTATAATATACTGATGAGGTTGTTTGTCGGGTTGAAATCTACTGATATGGTTTTGAAGATGAAGAAGGAGATGGATGGGAAAGAAGTTGAGCCGAATGTGAATATTTATAGGCTTTTGGTTACAATGTTTTGTGGAATGGGACATTGGAATAATGCTTATAAGTTCTTTAGAGAAATGGTTGAAGAGAAGTGTTTGATATATGAGATGGTTCTTACTCAGCTAAGAAAAGCTGGACAATTGAAGAAGCATGAAGAGTTGGTGGAGAAGATGATTCAGAAGGGACTCGTTGCGCGGCCATTGTAGGAACCTTCAATAAAGCATCAGATAAGAAACTTTTTTTCTCAAGAATTTTTAAGGATGTTTTAAATCAATTTTTACATGCTTATACATCTTAAACTAACAAGTAACAATCATACAAATGATAAAATTATGTTATTAAATTTCATATGGACACATGATACCGACCATCTAATCTATACTATTATATATGAAGTCGCTGATCCTATGTAGCAGTTCCAGAGTGAGTTTAAGACTTGCTCTACCGAAAATACTCTTAATGAATTTTGAAATTACATATCCATGCCATCACTATTAGTGGCCACGATTTTCTGATATAAGAATAGATGGGTTTGATTGAATTTTTTTTTGTTTGGGCTTTAATTATTCTGTGCTACCAAATATTAAAACTGATCACATATGCTAAAAACGTGGCCCATAAATATATATTTTTTTTAAAAACCTAGCTGCGCTTACTTAAAACCCTAAGTGCATCTATTATTCCATCTATTATTCTTATATCACCATCGTTTTTGTTTCTCACTATGTTTCGTTTCATACTTTTTTTTCTTTTCGTTTCATACTTTTTTTTTCTGTTTCATAGTTCTTATTGTGTATATATATGTGTTTTAGGGTTCGGTCACAATATGTTCTTGCATTTTTTTAATTATTTTTTCATTGATCCTAATATATTTTGTCCATCATCTTCTTCCAGCAGGTTCATGGTGATGATTTTTTCCATAGTCTTCTTGCAAAAAGTTCATCGTGTCACAATATAGGTGCAGGTTCTTCCATAATTTTTTTTCTTTTCGATTAAGCTGTAATTTGTTTCTCTGGAAAAATTATCTTCTTTAAA